TCCGAAGACCAACGTTTGTCGATCTCTAAAGCTCGCCTGAATTTTACTCCGCTAAAACCAATATGTTGGTGTTTCCGTGATTAGGCGCTTTAAGCTAAGTGAGACGATCTTTCATCAGGTCGATCACTTATTGTGATTGTAATCAAACTGACTACTTAATCATGTCAAATTGCTTATAGGGGCTAACTGGCGTACCAAGGAACCCGAAATTGCTGTATGAAGTCGAAATCACCTTTCTGAGATGCTTCGAGCTCTGTTGTTGTTGAGATATTTCTGGCGCCAAGAATTGATTCTGTCGCCGAACGCTGTGATAGGGTCTTCCCTGTTCTGCTACACCTGTATTTAGTTTTGACTATAAAACTTTGGCAATTTCTTTAATTATCTTAGGGTTGACCTAAGGCTTAATGTGGCTTGACTCATCGACTTGACACGACTCAAGGCATAAACTTGACTCGATATGACTGACTGACTCAAGGTTGACTCAACTCGAAGTAACATGACACATGTGACTCGTGACCCGTGTGTGCATAGTGTTGATTATGCGACTCGAAAAATGCAAAAAAGCAAAAATTTTCCGTCATTTTTGTGGAGGGTACCGACTTTCTCCCGAAAAAGAAAGACGTGAAAAAGAAAATCAAAAGTTTGAAGATGCATGTTGAATGAGCTTAGTCAAATGTTGTTTGATACTATCTCTCAAGGTTCAAGGATTAATCCATCCTAGGCTATCTCAACTGTTGACTCAATGATGAAAGTATTTGGGTAACTTAGGCACGGAGGCTAAGTACTTCATGATTCGTGATGCAATGACAATTATGAGTGATTTTGATATGATAAGGTATGCTTCAATGTTAAGATTTCATGACAAGGGGTTCCTAAAGGGAAGTATATTTGGTCATGTATCTGTGCAGTGTGTGATAGTGACACTAAAGCTAGGCCACAAGAGCTAAGTGTGTGAAAAGACATATTGTTAGAAGAGCCAAATAATGGTGACTCTTAGGCTAGGTAAGCTAATGATGTAAGGACCAAGCCCCCAAGTCTAGCTCTAAGTGAATAGGGATGAGCATAGGGAATCCCTTGATATGATCATGGTGTAAGTGTGTGAATGTGAATATGAATGCATGTTTATTACGGCCGCACCTCAATGTGAGGTTGCCTACGTATCCGTTAGGAATCAGGCCGAACGTAGCTCTAGCCAAACCTCGCACAAGTGTGTATACCTTAAAAAGGTCTTTTTAAGGGTTGTAACGTGGTTAGGCTAAAGGTTTACAGAAGAAGGGGATAAAGGCTCAAGACCCTAGATAAACCCCCAAGGTGTGCAACCTTGCTTTTGAATATTTGTAATTTTATGCTTGAAGTTTTCTACTCTTTTTTTTAGCTCTCTTATTGCTTTAGCATTTATTTTATTTTTATAAGTGTGGGCAATCCCGATCATGCGGTCTATCACTCACTTGGCATTCATGTTTCTCAGGCACGGTACCGAGCACTCGATAAGAGACGCAATCTGAGACGTGTTCTTATCGAAGATATATTCACATCAAAGACATTGGAACACTTACCCTTTTGTACACTTTAATTTATTTTTTGCTTTTGCTATCTTTTGAATTTGCTCAAGTTTTCTTTAGAATTGCATAAGTTGCACGCCATCCCATCCCAAGGTTAGGTAGATGTAGCTTGAAAAAAAGAAAGGCTATCGTTAGACGAGGCTCAAAGTGGTTTATGAAGAAAGGATTGTATAATTGAAGGGCGAAAGGAGATATGATGTGGTTACAAGGGGTGCCTCAAATCATTGGTCATTCGCCTCTTGTCTTGTGTCATTCGCTTCATCATCGCCTTGTCTTCTCGCTAGCTAGAGGCAATGGGACCTTGTTTGTTTCTATGAGGTCTTGAATGAGATTTTGAAACCTGTAGCATTCATCAGTGGTATAACTGTTTCCTCGATGGTACTTGCAATAGGAATTTGGATTCCATCTCGAAGATCAATTTTCTAGTGTTGGATCCTCAGTAGGGCCAATAGGTTTGATTAATCCTCGATCATAGAGACGATCAAAAGCAGCATCGTAGGTCATTCCAATGGGCGTGAACTCTCGCCTGGGTTTCCTTTTAGATCCTTGATTGTGGAGACAATCAAAAGCTTCATTGCAAGTCATTCTTATTGGTGTGTATTCTTCAATGGTCCGTTTTGCCTGTGGTTTAGGAGCATTGAGTCCTTCATTAAACCCTTGGCGAGAATTTTGTTCGATGGCCATCACCCGATTTGCTAATCCTTCTACCACATTCAAGACCATGGCAATGACATCTTACAGTTTTCGAATTTCCTCTTTTAGGCTTGACGAGTCTTTCTTGGTATTATCTAAGAAAAGACTTTCATCCTCCTTGATTATGGCCACTTCATCGAGAGAGTTCATATAAGCTGTCTCGATCATAGGCTCTCCTATAGGTATGATAAGAAGTGATGGATCAAAGGATGCTTGGTCATCTTCGATGGCTAGAATCTCGGAAGTTTCATTGTCATCGATCAGATCTTGAATAGCTTCTTTGAGTTTCCAACACTCTTCAGTGTTGTGACCCTTTCCTTGATGATATTTACAGTGCTTATTAGGGTCCCTCTTAGGTGGCCTAGCTTCTGGAACCGGATCTTTGATGGGCCCTATGGGCATGACTAGTCCTTTGTGGTGTAGCTTCTCGAAAGCCGTTTCATAACTTATACCAAGTGGAGTGAACACCCTTTTTGATCTTTGGATTCGTGGTTTAGAGATGTTTGTAGCATGTACCTCATTAGAGGAAGTAGAAGGATGGTCGCTCTTCTTTCCTCTCGCACTATTATCTTTCAGAAGGTGATCTTCAATGTCAATGCCTATATTATAAACAACTTTGAAAGTATTCAAGTTGTGTTGGTACTTTAAGTGCTTTGAATACTTCCCTTGGAGATTCTTGATAAACATCCTCATAGATTCTTTTTTGGTAGGAGCCTTGACCATATTAGCAGAAGCTTCCCTCCATTTATTGAAGAAGGAAGTGAACCCTTCATTTTCCTTTTGTTTTAACATCTCAAGTTGTCTGTGGTCTGTTTCACACTAGTAGAAAAAAGGCATTATGCAGCGGTTCAAACCCGGTCTAAGGCACCGGTTTGAACCGCTGCCTATTTGAGGGGTGCCAAAAACCTGCTATTTGGCACCGGTTCAAAACCGGTGCCATAGGGTTTAATAGGCACCGGTTAACCGGTGCCATAGGGTGAAATAGGCACCGGTTAACCGGTGCCTAAAACTGCTCTCCCGCCATTTTTTTTGGGTGGTGGATAGTTTAGGCACCGGTTCCTTCCTAACCGGTGCCTTTTGTATAATTTTTTTTTTCCGTTTTTTTTTCAATCGTGCAATAATATTTAAAAAAATAACCCGCAATAATAATAACCTGTAATTCCAGCAATTATATTAAATATAATAATTAATAATTTTATTATTATAATAACTAATAATAATATTATTAATTATTATATACAAAAATAATATTAGATACAAGAATTCAATTATATATATATATAGATATAAATATTCCCAAACCCAATACAAAAAAAAAAAAACAGTTGCTTACATATACAAATAATAGTAAGTACACATATATAATGAATAATAAGTTATATATAGTTCAAAAATTAACATAAATTATAATTTACAATTACAATGCATGCCATTTACATGTTGAAGGTGATAAAAGACGCCAACATGTCACGAACTTCATTAAGCTCCTTGATTGTCAACGGACCATCCTTTTGGACCTTGCAAAACTTGAAATACAAAAACATTATTTTAAAAATAATTAATTAAATATGTATTTTATCAAATATTACCTATACGACTTCTATGTAGCCCATTTACTACATTACTTATCAAATGAACTATTTCTTTCTCATAACATGTTAATATTGGATAGTTGTATGTGTGTAAGCCCTAAAATTGTATAGGAGAGCATTTTGTTAAGGTTTATGACGGTTTTTACCCAAAATGGCCCGAATATGACCTATATGACCTTACTTTGCCCATTTCCTACATTTCTTATAAAATGAACTTTATTTATCTCATAACATGTCAATATTATCTAGTTATAGGTGTATAAGGAAAGAAATCACATCAAAAGAGCATATTAACACAAAATGGCTCTAATATGGCCCATATGACTTCTACTCAGCCCATTTTCTACCTTTCTTGTGAAATAGCCTTTTTGTTTCTCATAACATGTCATTTTTGGATAATATTAGGTGTCTAAGGCTAGAAATCACATCAATATAGCATTTCAAGAAGTTTAACAACGCATTTTACTCAACATGGCCCAAATAGGGCTTATATGACTTCTATGTACCCCATTTTCTACATTACTTATCAAATGAACTATTTCTTTCTCATAACATTTCAATGTTGGGTAGTTGTATGTGTAAGCCCTAAAATTGTATAGGAGAGCAATTTATTAAGGTTTATGACGCTTTTTACTCAAAATGGCCCGAATATGGCCTATATGACCTTACTTTGCCCATTTCCTACATTTCTTATTAAATGAACTTTATTTATCTTATAACATGTCAATATTATCTAGTTATAGGTGTATAAGGAAAGAAATCACATCAAGGAGCATATTAACACAAAATGGCCCTAACATGGCCCATATGACTTCTATTCAGCCCATTTTCTACCTTTCTTGTGAAATAGCTTTTTTGTTTCTCATAACATGCCACTGTTGGGTAATATTAAGTGCCTATGGCGTGAAATAACATACCATGAAAGTAATGCACATAGGAGTGGAGAGAGTATCTCACCGATGCTGCCTCCTGATGCTGGCGTGAAATTTGTTGTAGGGGTTGCCTGAGGTCTGTTGGTGTCCCCACCAATGGTACCACCCGAAACAAAACCAGTCATAGATGGGCTCTTGTTGGAATACACATTTGAATTGTTAGTTGGCATCTAGTGAGAAATCAGCTCAATAACCAAGAGCTCAAGGCATGAAGAAACATCCTCATACAAGTAGAGTGACAAAATGGCTCACGATAATTCTAAAGGCTTATAAATTGCCATTGACATTCAAAGTAGAATATAAATAAGTAATTCCCCTCACCAAGCAACTAAAAATATACATTTTGATTTCCATACATACATGTAAAAAGAGAAATTTTCAGCATAATTACCTGAGGATCTGGGGATGCAACTGGAGCTGAATCCACGATACAGCCTTTAATTCTCCCTATTAATGAAGGGTCCTGCTTATGAAACTTCTCTAGAGCAACTCCGTATCTATTTAAGGTGACATAAGAACATCTAATTAGCAAAATAACAAGCAAATTGAGAATATAAACGAGGTAAGCAAGAAAATGAGATGGTGACTTACGTTAACCAACCCGTGTTACTGAAGGTGTGGAAAACAAGGTTCTTGCCATGCTCCTCTTCTAGCCAGTCAGCAAGATGGTTTACAAGCAACTCAACATCCAGTTCAGCTTTCCCACCAACCTGGTAGCTGAGAACCTCAGACATTGGAAAAGTGAAGGTGATTACATGAAAGCCTTTTGAAGTATACCATTCTGCACGCTTGGACTAGGATAAGAATATGTTCTGGTAAAGGTTAACCAAAATGGGAGATGAACCCACTGAATTTCCAGCAGAACTGCAGCTTGAATTTGGTATTGGATGACAGTTTATAGGCACTGGCACCCGGATTCTGGTCACAAACGACAACCTTGCAAGCTTGGAAACTGAAATGTTAGACACCCATGACAATCCTGAACTGTGAGCTGAGTCAATGGGTGATGAATCTGATGATGAAGCCAATGTTTCTGAGGCAACAGAAGGATCAGATTGTTTGGTATCCGTTAACTTGTTCGGAAGATCAATTGAAACAGATGCCACGGCAACAGCAGCAGCTGTGAATAGAGGTCGTTGAAGGCTTTCGGACAAGGTACCCATGATGCACAGCAAGTTCAAAAACTCTTATAAAACAATATCAAGCTCTATTTTGTAGAAACTCACACAGATCACTAAACAGAGCAATATTGCCAATAAAATCGGGCTGTCAACAATATTGCCATTGACACAGTATAAGAGATTCTCACTAGCTCAAATACTTGAATCAGAAACTAAAACTAAAAACAAACCCAACAATTACACACCCATAATAAAAGGCAACAACAACATTAACACTTAACATTTCTCAATTACCAAGTAAATTGGTTCAATTTCACAATAATTGGGAAGATTTAAAGTTGAAAACTAAGTCACTCATCACAAAACAACCACTACATCAAAAATTAGAAATCCTAAATTTCATAATAACCTAATTTAAACCCTAAAATCAAAGGGCATATATAGTGATTTTATGAAACCTGAGAAGTTAAAATTACATAAAATTAAAAATAAACCTTGAGACAATTAGGGCAGCAGCAAGGAGGAGACTCGGTGGTGACCCTCAGGCTGGTGGCGCGGCTCGATGGTGGAGGAGCCTCAGGGGGGTGGCGCAGCTAGGTGGTGGAGGAGAAAATTAGGGCAGCAGCTAGCTGGCACTCACGGCAAATGGAGGAGGACGCTCAGGCTGGTGGCACGGCTCAGTGGTGGAGGAGCCTCAGGGGGGTGGCGCGGCTAGGTGGTGGAGCAACCTCAGGGCGGTGGAAGGATTTTTTGAATAGGTGGTTTATTTTCGAAAGAGAAAGAAAGGGAAAACAGAGAGAGGAAGGATTGAAGGCGCGCAACCGATTTTCGAAACCCCTGGTTGCCGCCGGTGAAGGTGACGGCTGTGGTGGAGGGAGAGAGAGGAAGGATTGAAGGTCGAAACCCTGCTCCAATGAAACAGTAAGGATTGAAGAAGGAATGAAAGAGAAAGAGAAAGAGAGGAAAGAGAAGAGGTATGTAGTCCGCGTTTTTTTTTTAATTGGGTCCGGTTCAATTGGCACCGATTCAAACCGGTGCCTTTTTACTTTTAGGCACCGGTTCAGTCCAAACCGGTGCCTTTTCCCTTTTTTTAAAAACCCGCCCAATTTTGGGCCGATTTTTGGCACCGGTTTGGGCTGAACCGGTGCCATATGGGGGGTGCCAAATGCAATTTTTCTACTAGTGTCATCTTGGATGTTGCACTTATATCTATCTATGAAAGCGTTTTTTATCAACTCCCAAGAAGAGGTTTTTTCTTTGTCGAGAGAAAAGAACCATTGTTGACAAACGGTCTCGAGAGATAGTGGGAATAGAGAGGGAAACACCTTCTTATCGATACCCTTAATATTCATTATTGTTTCAAAAGCTCTTAGATGGAAGTAAGGGTTATATGTTTCCTTGAATTTAGGGATGTCAGTGGCGTTGAACTTATACGGAAGAAGTTCTTTATCCAGCGAGACCCCTTGCGAGCTCATGCCCTGAAATTTATAGTCACTAGATAGCTTGCTTAGACTCTCTTGCATGAGGTTCATTTGTTGTAGTTTCACGGGATCATCAACCTTGAGGGTGAGTAGCTTTAGTGTTTCAGTCATGGTAACCAATTGGTTCCTAAGCTCATTGACTTCTTCTTGAGTTGCCATTATCTTTTTAGCCTTCCTCTTTTGACGAATCGGTTTATCAAAAAAGCGAGACTTGAATAAAAAGGTTTTCCTTGATTAATCGCCCTTCTCTCCTCGACCAAGTACTGTGGAAAAGGAATTTGGGGATACTTATTATTAATTATTTGACTGAAACTTTATTCAACATGCAATGGATGGAGGAGGTGAAGAAAAGTGGAAGAATGTGGAGAAGAATGATTTAGGTGGAGGGGTGTGAAGAATTAGGAATAGAATGTACCCCTCGACTTAAATGACGGAAAGACGGACTCATGCATGGACCTAAGACATGGTCATGGTGATATGTGCTCAAAGTGTGTGCTAAGACCAGTGAGTGTAGGTGACATGTTAAGACTCATGTCATGACCATGTGGCTAAACTGTGTGACCAAGACTCGATTAATGACTTGACAAGGTGTTATTGACAGCGAAAATTAACCGAATTAATTAGCAAACTGGTTAATTAGACCCTAGGTGATGACTCGACAAATAATCCGAACTGTCGGACAAGCGATAGGACTGGCGTCACAAAATGGTGATTTGCGACAGAATTTTTAGTAAATGTCTGGCGCTACACACTATACAGTGGCGCTACAGCTCAGACTTTGGCGCCAATATTGGAGCTTTGCTCTGGGACTGTTTTCGGTATTATTAGTCAACTGGGGTATGCCTAAAGTCGTATTAGGTCAATTCCGATTAAAAAAAAGAAAAAACTTTGTTGACTCAAATTAATTAATTAATTAGGCAAAGTTCTTTAAGTCATTAATTATAATCTCAACACAAATCAACAAACGGTTAAGAAGAGCATAGGATATATATGCACAACAAATAATGCACAATTAGGCAAGTAGGCATAATATGATGCAATGAGTTCGCAACCCAACCATGGCTCTAGTTCTCTAAAGTTCGGGATATGGTTTAGTCAAATAGGGTCCATGGTTAATTGTCCAGATGCACCGCGTAGAAGCCTAACCGTGAAGGGTTAACGCGTATGGATAGAACACCGCGAGTTTTTAGAAGAAACTCACTTCCATGGTTTGGTGAATTCAACCTCTCAGATTTACCCTTTGTTGCCAGGAGCGTTCAATCGGGTAGATAGAGCATGAATTCCCAGAGGGTTATGTCCATATGTAAAACACATATGGGTTTCAGAAAAGTGAGAAAAAATTCAATCAGGTAGCAGGATCGAGCAAACAATACGAAAAACCGGTCGAAATTAGAACGCATATTTCTGGCTCGGTATTGGGGGAAATTGGCGCCAGCAAACAGAGACTGGCGCCAACTTTTAACTGTAGCGCCTGGCGCCAATACTGGCGTCTAGCGCTATGGCTAAAAGTTTGGCGCCAAGCTCTGGCCCCTGACGCTACTTCCCACATGCCTCAGCAGCTTTCTGTGCTCAATAAAATCATCCAGTTTCGCGCGGTGTTATTTCAGTCCTAGTTGTGAAAGACATTTCTCAAATTTCGTACGTGTAAAATCCTATGTTTTTGACTCATTACGGATGGTCTTTCCAATCAGAACCTTTTTATGCATATGACAATAATGTTAATCAAAATTACGCACATGAAATACTTAGGATTTTTCGAGTCTCATCCACTCATTCTAAATCATTGCCGAAACAAATTCAGGAATTAAAATAGAAATCCTCCCCAGTGAAGTCGCCAAAAATTGTAGGGAATAGTTTCAAGCCTTTAAAATCCCACTAGCTTGAACCCCACTGTGATCATACACTAAAGTACGGTGGCGTCCAAAAGGGAAGAAGATAGAGCAAAAGAGTCGCCAACAAGTTTTTAAGGAACTTGTAAACCGTTCACGAGGTGAAGGTTACACCCCTTAACGATCCAAGAGATCGTCAACTCCATAAGGTCATGAACCAAACAAGGGTTCGGGGATGATGGTACAAATCCAACCTAAAAGAGATTGAACCTGCCCTAATAACAGGCCTCTACTTTATTCTGCTCGTATTCATGTGCGCTTTCTGATTAACATACAATCAATAGGATTAACCCTAAACCTGTTTAATCTATGTTGGTTGAATTTAATGCACAAATAAATCTATTATTGGCGATCACTTGAATTATAATCACAATTAACTTACCAAGATTATTAATTATCTTATTAAGCGTGTTTGCAAATACCAATTCCCTTTAAACATGCAATAAAAGGTGATCAAGCAATAACAATAATAAATATCAAGCAACATAATAAATAATAAAAATCAATCATAATCATAATAACCATAAATATTGGGGAGAATATAGGAAGCATCATACTTTTAATCATACTTAATATTAAAGATACCCTAGACATGATACTAGGAATCAAAATAACAATCTAAACATGATTTCTACATCATAAAATCAATTAATCAATTAAAGTACTTACTTGGATGCCTCGTACCTCTTTCTAATAACAAAATACACACGTTAGTAACTTCAAGGAAAATAATAATCAAAACAATTAAATTAAATAATTGAAAGAGAGATTTGGGACCAAACCCTCAGAAATTAAAACCTTTCGCGTCTAGGGCGAAGGCAACTTCGAATATGGCTAGGTGTTTCTAGATCTTGTGAATGCGGAATTTTGTATTAAAAAGCAAGAAAGAGTGGAAAGAATGAATGAAAGTTGATGAAAATTGATGAATGAATGATGTAGATGATGAATGAAGAGAATTAATGAATGGTAATTGATGAATAATTTTGTGAATGAAGAGAGTTTATTATTGTTAATTGATGAATAATGAAGATAGTTGATGAAGACTTAAGAATAAGGAGAATTGGTGAATGTTGAAGATAGTTGGTGAATGAAAACAGAGTTTTTGATACGATATTTGTAGAGAAAATCATCCAAAAAAAGATAATTTATCAAAACAGAGTCTGAAGACCACAAAAACACATTTGCGCCAGGACCAGTGGCTAGCGCCAGGCGCCAATGGCTGGCGTCTGACGCCAATCCTGATTCCAGGCGCCAAGGCCTGGGGTTGGGCGCCAAATTGGA